ATTTATTCCCTCTTTTATTGTTTTGATGTTGTTGTCATTTACTGATTAACTGCTCTGATTCCCTGTTGTATTTCTTTTGGTTTTGGATGGTCCTTGAGAGTTCATTTCCTAGATTGTTATCTGGCTGATACGATCCTGCGTCCTAGATTCTGCCTGTGAGCTGAAGTTGTTTGTTCTCAGATCGAAGAACTCCCTTTAATAATTCTTGTAAGTTTGGTGTGGCTCTTACATAGTCCCTTAATTTCTGTTTATCTGGAGATGACCTAGTTTCACCATCATATCTGAATGAGAGTTTTGCAGGATATCTTATTCTTGGCTGGCAGTTTTTTTCTTTCAAGATTTTTTATATGTCATCCCATTGCCTTCTTGCCTGCGTTGTTTCTGCCGAATAATCTGAGCTTAGTCTTATTGTTTCTCCTCTGTATGTGACTTCTTGTTTTTCACAAGCTCTTCTCAGGATTCGTTGTTTGTCTTTGGTTTTGGCGCATGTGATTATGATATGCCTTGGTGATTTTCTTTTGGGGTCTATCCTATATGGGGTTCGTTGAGCTTCTTGGATGGCCAGCTTTTCATGTTTCATGATATTGGGGAAGTTTTCTGTCAGCAGTTCTTCAATGATCCTCTCTGTGTTTTCTGTTTTGTCCCCCTGTTCTAGAACTCCGATCACTCGCAGATTTTTGCTTTTAATTGTATCCCACATAACTCTCAGGGTCTATTCATTTTTCTTTGTTCTTTTTTCTGAGTTTTCCTCAAACAGAGTTGTATCCAGGTGTTTGTTTTCAATTCTACTGATCCTGTCTTCCACTGTTTCAAATCTGCTTCTCAGCCCTTCTGTGACACTGTCCATTTCTGAAATCTTGTTGTTTATCTTTTGGATTTCTGATTGTTGTCTTTCTATAATTTCTAGTTGTGAATTTATTTGGCATTTTGTTCCTGCATTATTTTCTTGAATTCTTCCAATTTTTTGTCTGTATTTTCCATGAATTTGTCTATTTTTTCCTGATTTTTGTCTGCTTTTTGCTTCAGCTCTTGGTGAATTCTGAGTATTAGAGATTTGAATTCCCTATCAGGTAGTTCTAGTGCCTTTTCTTCCGCTGGAAAGTCATCTGGTGTTTTGTTTTGGACACCTACTGGAACCATCCTGTCCTGTTTTTGTAAATGTTTTGATATTGTCTGCTGTCTTTGGGGCATTCAGTAGTTATTTTTCTCATTTAATGATTGTAGATTTGTTTGTTTAGTCCCTTTTTTAAAAAAATTTGGCTATGTCTGAGCAGGCAGGCTGTGTATTCTTTGTTGTTTGCTCATCTGTGGGCACAATACTTTTTGCCTCCTTCTCCAATTGGCAGGGTCAGTCACTCAGATATGGTATGGCAGGGCAGGTCTAGCTGACGAGGAGTTACTGGGACGGGTTGTTTGTGGCACCCACCACAGCCACCAGGGCGGGTTGGTAATCAGTGCAGGGCAGGTTCCAGTGGGCCATGACTGTGCCGCTTGGTGGTGTGATGTTAAGCGCATGGTGCAGGTAGGCAGGATGTAGCGGGGTGATTGTTATGCATGGAGGTAAGATGGATATGGGAGAGAGGAGAGAAGAACAGGAGCCAAAAACATAAAAACAAACAAAAAAGAATGTTAGGGGAGCTTGCTGTTGGAGTGGAGAGATGAGAGACTATGAAATGGAGAAAAACAAAAAGGGGAAGAGGAAGAAAAGAAAAGAATGAATAAATAAAAATCGGAAAGGGAAAGAACAGCAAAGTTCCCAGGGATCCCACCGGTGCGGCTATGAGGTCTGGGGAAGTTGCAGCCTGGCTAGAAAGCATAGAGGTGTACAACACCAGGTATTCAGGGAACAGAAAGAGAGGGAAGATATAAAGAGATGAGAAACTGAGTAATGAAGAAAGACGAAAAGGGAAAAATAGGGAAAAGAAAACAAACAATTCAAAACAAACAAACGAACAAAAGTCCCGGGATCCCACCAGGGTGGCAGCCCAGACTGGGAAGCAGCTCCACGCTCGAACAGAGCTCTGCAGCCCCTTAGGAAGAAGGAAAGATGGCACACGGAGCCAGGTATTTGAGCAAAAGGAGGGGAAGGTGGTAAGAGGTAAGGAAGAAATCAAAAGAAGCGGAAGAAAAGCAACACCAGCAGCCAACAAATGGCACTCAGAGAGCCAGCTAGTGCGGGCTGGTGGAATCCAAGAAGCCAGTGCTTCCGGGACACGAGACTGTGTCCGTGGGAAGCAGAGGAGGCTGAGTGTGGGTGAAGAAGGGTAGGGGGTGGGAAAGCGTATATCACAAATTACCGGAGCTCCGCAGCCCCTCAGGAAGAAGCAAAGATGGCACACGGAGCCAGGTATTTGAGCGAAAGACGGGGGAGGTGGTGAGAGGTAAGGAAGAAATCAGAAGACGCGGAAAAAAGCAACACCAGCAGCCAACAGATGGCACTCAGAGAGCCGGCCCATTTGGGTGGGTGGAATCCAAGCAGCCGGTGCTTCCCAGACAAGAGATTGTGGCTGCAGGAAGCAGAGGAGGCCGAGTGGAGGTGAAGAAGGGTGGGGGGATGGGAAAGCATATTTCGCAAATTACCGGTTGTTTTGTCTCCCACTGGAAGCTCCGTGAAGCTGCTTTCTTGTACCCCCTGTTTGCTGGTCTCCGGTACGAGTGCAAGATGGCGGATCCGGGCCGCGTTAGCTGTTAGGGGACCTCTGCATGAATCTCTCCTCGCTCTCCATTCTCTGTTAGTTTTCTCACTCCATTTGGTGCTTGGCTGAGTTTTTTATCTCTTCATTTGATGTTTTAGGGTTTCAGGATTTTTGTTTTCTCTGTTAGGCTTAGTTTCTCAGATGTTTGCTGTGGAGGGATGGCATGGCGCTTCTGCCTAGAGCGCCATTTTGCCGGAAGTCCTGAACTTAATACTCCTGTGACTCCTTTAATGGAAAAACTATCTTGAAAACGTTCCCTAAGAGATTCTAAAACAAGTTGGGACTTACTTTGTTACTTCAGCCTGTTTCTTAAAAGACTTAGGCCATGAGGGTAAAGATCCAACGTGCATCCTAAAATGTTTATTGCCCCGGTTGGAAGTACGTCATAATGAATATACTCAGCAGTGGCCAAAATTTTTCTTCCTTTTTTTTTTTTTTTACTTTCTGTATTTCAAGAACTGTGAGGTCTATAAATCATCACACACCCATAAAATGAATTAAATTGAACTGAATTGTAGTATTATGGAGAATAAGTTTTTGGCCATTTCCCTGGCATTGTATATTGTCCTGAGGATGTCTGGTGAATGTGGGAATAACTAGCAGTAGAGATTGCCACCTCTTTCATTCATTTTAGTTTTTTGATGAGCACCTACTACGTGCACTGTTTTAGGTGGTAGACATATATCTGTGAATAAGACAAGGCAGTTTCCTTACTTGTGAAGCTTGTATTCTGTTGACCCATTGTTATTTTTCATATGTCTGGTGGGGGAAAATTTTTTGTAGTAGTAGATAGAGGATTTTTGCCTGGGCCATTCTGGGAGATAACCACAGAACTTTGGGTTGGTTCTGACAAATACTAAAGAACTAAATATTTGTATATCATGTTTTAGGGCAAATAAATTGGAATGTTTCAAAAAGAAATAAAAATTTGTACCTAGTTAGACTTAAAAGTAAAAATCCTCGTTATCTTTTTGGTTATTACACTGTTACTGTGAGAACGTATGTGGAGAAAGGAGATGTAGTAGCTAAGGTACTTTTTGATGTTGAGCTGATGATTTAATCTGCTTTCATCTGCCACACCCAAGGATTATCAGAGGGTAGGACAAAGTCTTCAGTAAAATTGGAGAACATAGTCGTTGCCTGGGCGTTTAGCTGTGTCCAGTATAATGCAGATCAGCACTGAGCTGCTCATTTGATTAACAGAGCTGCTCATGTGATAATAGACACTAGTCCCCATCTGATGAAGGTTAGTGATTTTTCAGAAGGGGCAAAAGAAACCTTCAGGACATACAGTTTTAGAATTTAAATCTGTCAGAAATAAATTTCACTTGTAAAAAGTTAGGTTTCTGACTTCAGATTTTAAAAGATAGTTCAGCACTTTTTTGCAAAACAAAACTAAGAAGATTACATAATATAAATGGAAATGTAGAGGGCTGGTGCTAAAACTTTTCTGCTCTGCATGGCTGTTTATATTAGACTTAAAGCCAGCTCCTGATTATTCAATAGCTGCTTATCCAAACTATGGGTCATTTAAACCTCAGTTTTATTTCTTCTTGGTAAGAGTCAAGGAAAGAAGCAAGAACTTAATTTCAGGTCTGAGGAACTATAACTGCTTTGGAGTAAAAATTAAAAAAAAAAAATTATTCTTCACAAACTCTGTAACTTAATAATAGTTCTACAGTTTTGTGTCATATAATTTGTTCTTTTAAATTCAACATTTAATTGGGCGCTGCCATAACTTAAGTTAGTTTTTATCATTTGGGAAACAGTAAACAAGCATTTTGAATTTCTTTAAGTTACTAAGATCACCTGTATTATAGTTTGGGAAAATCTTACTTTCAATTATATTTTATACCGATTTTAATATTGTAGAACGTGTGATTTATAGGAAAACCTCTTTAAAAATTAAAAATTATTAAAAAAAATTACGAAGAAAGAGAGAGAATGTTCTACATGACCTCTTAAAGAATAATTACCTTATTATTTTAAGTATGCTTTAAAGGAGTAGGATTAAGTAATGAGATTCCCTTTAATTGAACTTCTCTTTAGTTCTGACACAACACCCCTTTTAAATGGATCAAGCCAAGACAGAATGTTTGAAACAATGGCAATTGAGATTGAACAGCTTTTGGCAAGGGTAAGTACTTTCTGTTAAATGGCTATTTTGTTAATAGCTACTTGTTGTTGGAGCCCTCGTGGCCCAATGGTTAAAGCTATCTGCTGCTAACCAAAAGGTGGGCATCCAAAACCCACCAGCAGCTCCGTGGGAGACAGATGTGGCAGTCTGCTTCCGTAAGGATTTATAGCCTTGGAAACCCTATAGGGCAGTTCTGCTCTGTCTGTAGGGTGGCTATTAGTCAGAATCAACTCGATGGCAGTAGGTTTGGGCGTGGTACTTGTTGTTAGGTATGGTATTGGATTATATCAGTGTAGACATGTTTATTGAAATCACCCATGCATTTAAGGTGGATACCTCCCCAGGCCACTTGAATTTTGATAACAGCCGTACCCAGGTCCTATGAGTGTTATTTTAGCCTTTATGGATTATTGGGAGAAATGCTGAATCTTGGCCTGCTATCTTCTTGGGGTTTTTTGGGTTTTTTTTCTGCCAACAGAAAAGGTATACAGGCAAGTAATTTGCTTTTAGCTGTTTACTAGTGCCTTCTAAAATATTTTTATTGGCTTTCTTTTTCTTTTAGCTTACAGGAGTAAATGATAAAATGGCAGAATATACCAACAGTGCAGGTGTCCCCTCCTTGAATGCTGCGCTGATGCATACATTACAGCGACATAGAGACATATTGCAGGTAATATATAGGGCTTGAGATTTTTACATTATCACGGGAGGGTTGGTTTGTTTAGGTATTGTTTGTTTATTATGTTCGTTTTATTATTTCCACCCTTACAATTGGGACAGCAGTTACCTAGCAAACATAAAAATATGGTAAACCCTGTTTCTATGAAGAAAGAAAATCAGGGATGAGCCAGTCAAATTCAGGTTTTTGAGTAAATTCTGCAAATACAGTTTTTTTTCTTAGCCCATCCCACCTCCTCACCCACCACACTTAGGCCTTTTCCTGGCTCCTCCTACCTCTTAACCCCATACTTGGGCATCCTCCTGACCCTTTCCACCTCCTCCCTCCCCACACCTGGACATCCTTGTGACCTCTCCCACCACCTCACTTCCCATACATGACATCTTGCTGACCTCTCTCCCTCCTCACTCCCCACACCTGGGATAATGTTGACACCTCCCACTTCTTCACTTCTGGGCATCCTTCCTCCCCAGTCACCCCCAATCCCAGTTCCTCACTTCCAAGGCCTATCACAGGCATTTTTTTAAAACCTCTGAATAGGATGTGTGCTAAATGCGATGCTATAGAGGTTTGTCTTATTTTACTTTTTTTTCTTCTTGGTATAAAGTTCTGAATATGTCTAATAGCTCTTGCTTTTATCTAATGAAACTGAATAATATTTATCACTAGATAAATATACTTCTGATTCGGGAGACCCACCTAGCTAGCTACAACAGTGAAATAGCCAATGAGCAGGCATAGGAACTATGGTTTAGAGTATACATTCATCAGGCTTTGAAGAAAACATGGATAGGGGAGTCATTTGTTATACTTAGTATATTGTTCGAGAAAATTTTTAAAATGTACCAAAAAAACCTAAATTACTCAAAGATTTATATTTGGAGGGATGTTAAAAATAGAGCGGTACAGATAGTAAGGCCAACTTTTTTTTCTTTTTTTTAAATGATACTTCAGGAGAAGGTTTACAGAACAAATAGTTTCTCATTAAACAGTCAGTACACATATTATTTTATGACATTGGTTAACAACCCGACAACATGTCAACCCTCTCGCTTCTTGACCTTTTTTTTTTTTTTTTTTTTTTTGGTGAAAATATGCATAGCCAAAGACGCACCATCCATTTCAAAAATTTGTACATGCACAGTTTAGTGACATTGATTACGTTCTTCCAGTTGTACTGCTATTCTCACTTTAGATGAAGGTTTACAGAACAAAATAGTTTCTCATTAAACAGTTAGTACACATGTTGCCCTATGACAATGGTTAACAACCCCACTACATGTCAACACTGTCCTTACTCAACCTTGGGTTCCTTATCACCAGCTTTCTTGTCCTCTTCTGCCAGTAAGGCCAACATTTTTAATACTGGAAAAATTCAGCAGCCACTCTTAATTTTAAAAAACTCTTGTTAAAGATAGGAATAGATGGATACTTCATTGGCCTAATGCAAAAATTTATACGTTGGATTAATCACGTTTAATGGTAAAGCACTAAAAGCATTTCTGATTAAAGAAAAAACAAGGCAAGGATACCTGTGAACACCACCGATATTTAACAGTGTTCTGGAAGTTGTTGATGGTGCAATTATATAATAAAAAGAAACAAGAGATAATAAATATTGGAAAGAAAGAAAATTGGTTATTATTTGCAGGTAATAAGATTATCTAATATCCTCAAGCAAATTAACTGAAAAAATATTAGAATTAAATTCAGTAAGGTGGTGCGTTATAAAATTAATATAAAAGCAAGTAGTTTTTCAACGTACAAACCATAGAAAATGTAATGAAAGAAACTGTAAATCCTTAGGTATAATTTAATAAGAAAAGTGTAGGAATTGTATGTTTAAAACTCTACTGAGGGACATAAAACAAGCTTTAAGGGAAGAATTACTCTACTTTTAGATGGGAGGATTTCTCCCTAAATCAGTAAATCAAATGCCATTCCAATGGAAATAGAAGTTTTGTTGTTGTTGTTTGTTTCTTTTTTCACTTGGTAAAATGGTACCAAAGTTTATTTGGAATCATAGACATATGAGAATAACTTAGGGGAAAAATCTGAAAATGAAGATTAATAAAAGGTGCCTAGCTCTATCAGATATTAAAATCTGTTAAGAAACTAGGATAATTAAGACAGTTTGATTCTAGAGAGAAAGATGGACCAACAGAACAGAAAAGAGTTCAGATATAGACCCAAATATGCTTGAGAATTTAATTTATGATAAAAGTGACATTCTAAATCAATGTAAAAAGGTGGGATTATAAAATAAGTAGTGTTGAGACAGTTGGCTACTTGTTTGGGAAAAATAAACATCAACCTCTATCTCAATTCTCACAGCTAAAATAAATTCCAGTGGATCAAAGACTTATATGTAGAAAAACGAGAAAAGTTCAGAATAAAGCATGGATGAATCTATTTATAATTTTTGAGTGAGAAAGGACTTTCTAAGTGAGACTCAATATTGGGAACTATAACGTGACTAATTTGTGTAATATACAGAGAAATGATAGAAATAAATTTAAAAAAGACAGCCTAATAGGAGAATGGGCAAAGGATGTGAACATGTTGTTTATAGAAAAATGTGAGTGGTGAAAAACTTCAAAAAGTTGCGCAGCCACATTCTCAATTAAAAATATACAGAGCAAAATGAGATATGATTTTTCACTAGTGAGATTAGTACAAATTGAAACATTTGTGTTACTCGTTATTAGTAGGAATGTAGAAAAATAGTCACTTATGCATGGTTGGTAAAAAAAAAACGTTGCCATCGAGTTGATTCCGACTCATAGTGACCGTATAGGACAGAGTAGAACTTCACCATAGGGTTTCCAAGGAGTAGCCGGTGGATTCAAACTGCTAACTTTTTGGTTAGCAGCCGAGCGCTTAACCACTGTGCCACCAGGGCTCCACATAGTTGGTAGGAACATAAATTAGTGCAGTCTCTCTGGAAGGCAGTTCAGTACTATCAACATTTAAAATATATGATTCTTTGATCCAGTTATTATACTGCTAGGTATTTACTCTTCAAATACACTTTTAAAAAAGTTATTGAAAATATATATACAAGAATGTTTATTGCAGCTCTTTTTAAACAGCAAAAAAATGAACCACACAAAACCAAATCTGTTGCCATAGAATCGATTCCAACTCATAGCAACACAACTAAAAATGTTTATCAGCAGAGAATTTGTTAAATTATGATAGCATCATAAGATAGAATTCTACGCAGCTAAACTAAAGGTTGGTAGTTTGAACCCATCCAGCAGTACTGTGGAAGATAGGCCTGGCTATCTGCTTCCAGTAAGATTACTGCCAAGAAAACCTTATGGCAAGATTGTTCTCTAACATATGGAGTCACCGTGAATCAGAATTGATTGGACAACAACTAACAACAACATTAAAAAGAATGGTGTAGATTTCTGTTGGCTAATACAGAAAGATTGCTTGATATTTTACAAACTACAGAAAGCAAGGTGTAGAGCAGTATGATTTATTTAGCATAAATGAAAGTAATAATAGATAAGCTTGTATATGCAAAAACATGCTTCCTGAAAGGAAACACAAAGTGATAACAATAATTATGAGCTGTGGAGCAGGATGGTTTTTACCTTTTTTTTTTTTTTGGTGCTTTGTGAATACTCTCACCATGTTCATGTGGTGTTTTTAAAAGGTCAGCAGGGGTTCTCTGGGAGATGGGATTATGATTTTTGTCTTCCTTACATACTCTGAATTAAAAAGAATGAATATTCCTTAATGTCTTTTAAATATGGTAGTACAAAAATGAAGGAAAATGTTTTAAAGATTATTTTGTTCTTTATAATTCTCTTGGGTCTGGTCTTCCTTTGATTGGGTTAGGGATAAAATTTCTACAGAAGCTCCAAAAGGATGAAATTTGAAAGTCAGCCCTATTGGGTACATTAATGAAAATCTCAAGTTTTATCCTAGGCTCTTTGAAAATATTTTAGAATTTTTATAATTCTGCCTCATAAGACAAGGTACTGGAAGATGTATATTTAGTGGCACTATTACCCTAACATCCACCTAATTGTTTTCCTTTGAAAGACATTGGTTACTCTTCAGGAAAGTAATTATGAAGTTATTTTTGCCTTTTGGCAATTTGATTTCTTAAATAGCAGTTTTTGTGTTGTTTTTTTTTAATAGAAATTGCAGTATGATGACAGTGAATAACTCGTTCAATAAGATGAAGATACATAATTAGTTTATGTTGAGGCCGAATGTTGTTTTATTGCAGGATTATACACATGAATACCATAAAACCAAAGCAAACTTTATGGCAATACGGGAAAGGGAGAATCTCATGGGATCAGTACGAAAGGATATTGAGTAAGTTACTGTTTATATTATTTTATAGAATGTTTATTCAGATTTAGATTATGTCCATGATTAACAGCAAATTGAATAGAGCCACGATTTAGATTTCAGGGTTTCTAATTTCTCATTTTACTGTTCTTTGAACATTGCTGCTATACTACGGTCCTGATCTACTTTTCTGGTCTTATCTCCTGCTTCCCCGAGTTTTATCATCGGCTCCTGCCAACATTTCCTTTCCTGTCTTAATTCAGAGTCCAGCTCAGATGCTATCTTTTGTGTGTATGTGTGTGTGAAAATATACACAGCAAAACATACACCAATTCAGCAATTTCTTTTTTAATTTTTTCTTTATTGTACTTTAGGTGAAGGTTTACAGAACAAATATTTTCTCATTAAACAGTCAGTACACATGTTGTTTTATGACATTGGTGAACAACCCCATGACATGTCAACATACTCCCTTCTCGGCCTTGGAGGACCTTTTCTAGCAATTTCTACATGTATAATTCAGTGGCATTAATTACATTCTTCAAGTTGTGCAACCATTCTTACTATCCTTCTCCAGATTATTCCTCTACCATTAACTTAAACTCATAGTCGCCTAAGCTTCTTACCTAACCTTTTGAGTTGCTATTGACAGTTGTCAATTGGTTTAAAAAAAGACATGGGAATAGTTTTGGTTTAAGGTTTAAAGTTTAAAGATTATCTCAGGGCAATAGTTTTGGGGTTCATCCAGCCTCAATGGCTCCAGAAAGTCTGGATTCCATGAGAATTTGAAATTCTATTCTGCATTTTCCCCCCTTTGATCAGGATTCTTCTGTAGAATCTTTGGTCAAAAAGACCAGTTTGGCCCTCTAGAAAAGCCCTGGTAACGTAGTGGTTAAACTGCTCGGATGCTAATCAAAAGGTCAGCGACTCAAACCCATCAGCCACTCTGCGGGAGAAAGATGTGGCAGTCTGTTCTATAAGGATTTATAGCCTTAGAAACCCTATGGAGCGGTTCTACTGTCCTTACAGGGTGGCTGTGAGTCAGTTGACTCAATGGCAATGGGTTTGGTTTTGGTTTCGACCCTCTAGGAGTTTATAATCTAAGTGCTAGAGCGGAGTAAGGCACATATTCAAATTAGCATAATACAAGGCAGAATATGATTAGTGAGATGAGATAGAGCAGTAATAGCTGATATTTGTATAGTTTTTTGTGGTTTATGCAGTACTTTTCCATGTTTTATCTCTTTTTGGCTTCATTGTGATCTTTTGGTATAGGTAGACATTATTAGTCCCATTTTATAAAACTAGATATTGAGAGACTTGTCTGAGGTTAAGTGGCTAGTAAATGATGGCATGTAGGTTTAAACCCAGGTGTTCAGACTTCCAAGTCTAGTATGTTCTTGGTTATATTATGCTGCTTTTCCTCGTGTTTTCTCTCCACTGTGCTTTGCAATGCCTCTCAACTAGTAGTTTAATTTTAGCAGCATGACCCTCTTTTTTTTATTCCCTTTTGCAGTATGTGTGCAGTTGCTTGATTTGAAATTTTATTCTTGATACTTTATTATTAAGTGGAAAACAGAAAAATTAAAGTGCTGACAGTAGTGATAAAAAGCTTTTTTTTTGTAAATTTTAATTTTAAGGCTAAGGTGGAAATCATTAGGTGTGCCGAAATTGGCAAATCTTTAGCTTCATCTCTGTGCTACTCAGGCTTGAGTTGAGAGACTGTGTATATAATCGTGAAGCAAAACCTTCTTTTGGTGGCTTCCTTATTCCATGTGCTGTGTGCTAAGAAGTCTAAAGTTTTATTTCCACTTGGAAAAAATAAAGATACAGGAGATAATAGATAAAGGAAAATTAAGGTTTTTTTCCTAAATTTTATTTATTCTGTTATGGTTGAGAATATACACACAAAACATATACCAACCCAACAATTTCTACGTGTACAATTTAGTGACATTGATTACATTCTCCGAGTTGTACCTCCATTCTCACCCTCCCTTTCTGAGTTGTTCCTCCCTCATTAACATAAACTCACTGTCCCCAAAGTTTCCTGTCTAATCTTTCGAGTTGCTGTTGTCAGTTCAATCTCATATGGATAATTCTTAAAAGAGCATAGTGCTCAAAGCAGACTTTTTTTTTACTAGTTAAGCTAAACTTCTTTGGTTTTAAGATGACTTCAGGGGATATTTTTGGTTTAAGTTTAAAGATTGTCTCAGGGCAGTAGTTTCAGGGGTTCATCTATCCTCCATAGCTCCAGAAAATCTAGAGTCCATGAGAATTTGAAATTCTGCATTTTTCCCCTTTTGATCAGGATTCTTTTATGGAATCTTTAATCAAAATATTCAGTAATAGTAGCCAGGCACCATCAAGTTCTTCTGGTCTGATTGCAGAGGAGGCAGTTGTTCGAGGAGGCAGTTAGCCTCACATTTCATATCCTCCTCCTTTTCCTGATTCTCCTTCTTCCTCTGTTGCTCCAGGTGAATAGAGACCAATTGTTGTGCAAGTAAGGATTTTTTGTTTGTTTAAGAATGTTTGGTGAAAAACATAGGGAACTCTTCGGCCTAAATTAGAGAGGCATGCATATTTATCTATAAAAAATGTCATTTTTGGAGGATGATGATAAGGATTTAAACATTTTATTTGTTCATTCAAAACCATGAAGAGGCTCAGTTTGTCCACTTTGGATATCACTAAGGTTAGTCACTTAATCTCTTTTTGTAGTATCTGTCAAAAATGTTCTTAAATTTTCTCTTTTTCGTCCTAGGTCATATAAAAGTGGGTCTGGGGTAAACAATAGAAGAACTGAACTGTTTTTGAAAGAACACGACCACCTTCGAAAGTAGGTATTATTGAATGTATGCATACTATATAGTTTTCCATATTCTTTTCCTTATTTAACAAACATTTATATGGTGTTTATTACATTAAGTGCTTTATCAATGCTAATTCATTTAATTATCCTATTGATTCTGTTCAATAGAAATGGAATTACAACTGGTCTGACCATAATTTAGGAAAGATGCTATGCTGTGGAGTATTCAAAATCTACATTCACATCACTTGCTACCTTTAATTTTTGTTGTTGTTGTTGCCTTAATGTGTTCTTTAGTAAGTCTGTTGCTCTAGCTGGAGCATTGGTGGCACAATGGTTCAGAGCTCGGCTGCTAACCAAAAGGTTGGTAGTTCAAATCCACCAGCTGCTCCTTGGAAGCCCTATGGGGCAGTTCTCCTCTGTCCTATAGGATCACTGTGAGTCGGAATCAACTCAACAGCAACAGGTTAGTTTTAGTTAGTTATTGCTCTAATGCTTTTGTCCATTACTTTCACTTATTAGTAATAATACTAGTTAATAACACTGATAATGACTTACGTTTGAATGGCCTGTTACCATTTGTATATGTCAAGAAGCTTTATAAATAGTAAGGCCACACGTCAAATCCAAAGAAAATACCTGATTTTCGCAGAATTCAGAATAAAATGCCTAAAAATTTGGATGAACTGTTTACATATATTTTTACATAAGTCATCCTACTCAACACGTGCTTCATCTGTTGTTCAAATTATGGGTTAATATGGTTACAAAATAAAATACACTGTTTTCCTTAATAATTTATTCTGTATTTTGTTGCAGAATGTAAGAATTAGAAAATTACTTATCTTTGTGAACTCAGCCTCTAAGCACTTGAGCAGCAAGTGTCCATGATAATTAAGTGCTAGAGAATTGCATTGATTATTTGCTGCTAAATGGCATAGTCATGCCCATAAGAGCCTAAAGGAGCCCTGGTAGCACAGTGGTTAAAGCACTTGGCTGCTAACCAAAACGTCAGCGGTTTGCACCCACCAGCCACTCTATGGGAGAAAGATGTGGCAGTCTGCTTCCACAAAGATTACAGCCTTGGAAGCCCTATGGGGCAGTTCTGCTCTGTCCTGTCGGGTTGCTATGAGTTGGCTTTGACTCGACAGCAGTGGGTTTGGGTTTTTTGTTTTGTTTATATGAGTCTAATAGAGCTGTTTATTTTTCTTTGAAGGTCATCACTTTAAATAAAAGCTGTTGAAATCAAAACCTTTTTAGAAGCCTAGGTGCTTCTAGTGTTGGAAATAGTGATTAGTGTTCTTTCTTAACCTGTCGAATATTATTGATTGGCACAAGGGGGCAGTCTCTCCTAGAGTATGTTTAGTTTATAGCCATTTGTAGCTTTGGTAGTTCTTTTTGTATTTGGTAAAGTCTGCTGTAAAAAGAGTTTTGCATTGCGTCTGAAACTATATTAATATGTACTTGGGGTACAGAGTAACTTAAGGGATCACATACTCAAGGAGAACAGTTATGAATTATGTTGGCTACTTTGTTGAAAATCAGTTGATCATATATGTAGGTTTATCTCTGAAGTCTGTTCTGTTCCATTTACCTGTAGATCTATCCTTATGCCAATAGCATACTGTTTTGATTACTGTAACTTCATGTACTGTAAGCCCTCCAACTTTGTTCTTTATTTTCAAAATTGTTGTGGCTCTTCTAGGTCCTTTGTAGTTCCGTATAAATTTTACAATCAGATTGTAAAAAGGCCTGCTGAGATTTTAATTAGAATTATATTGATTCTGTAGATCAGTTTGGGGAGAATGCCAACAATTTTTAACAACAGTGAGTCTTCCAACCCAGGAGCATGGTAGGTTTATTTATTTAGATCTTTAATTTCTCTCAGTAGCATTTTATAGCTTTCAGCATACAGGTCTTGCACAAATTATGTTAAATTTAAGTATTACTTGTTTTTGGGTGTGATTGTAAATGGAATTCAAAAATTTTAATTTTCTAATGGTTTTTGTTAGTATAAGAAATACAGTTGCTCATTATATACAACCTTCTATCTTATGACCTTGAATTTACTTAGTAGTTCTAGAAGCTTCTTGGTAAATTCCTTGGGATTTTCTGCATACACGGTCGTGTCATCTGAGAATCTAGTTTATATCTTCCTTTCTGTATTGGTTTCTGAGGGCTGCAGTAACAGAGTACTATCCAGTGGGTGGCTTAAAATGACAGACATTTTGTTTACAGTTCTGGAGTCTAAAAGTCTGAATTCAGGCTATCAGCAGGACCATACTCTCTCTCAAGGCTCTAGGGAAGATCTTGTCTCCACCAGCTTCTAGTAGCCCTAGGTGTTTCTTGACTTGCCGCTGCAGTGTCACACGGCCATCTTCCCTCTGTGTGTGTCTGTGTCTCTCCTCTTTTATGAGGACACCACTCAGGTTGGATTAGGACCCACCCTACTCCAGTATGACCTTATGTTAACTGATAAAACCAAACAAAACCCTTTGCCATAGAGTTGATTCTGACTCATATCTACCCTATAGGACAGGGTAGAACTGCCCTACAGGGTTTCCAAGGAGCAGCTGGTGGATTCAAACTGCCAGCGTTTTGGTTGGCAGCCTTAGCTCTTAACCACTGTGCCACCAGGGCTCAGTGTTAACTGATAGCATCTTCAAAGACCCTGTTTCCAAACAGGGTCACTTTCACAGGTACCAGGGTTTAGGACTTCAGCATGTCTTTTTGGGGGAACATAATTCAATTGATTTAACCTCCCCATCCCCTTTTTGTTTGTCATCAGGTTTCATATATACATGTGCCCCAATATAGAAAATCTGTTTCATGCACTTATTCCCCAAATATTTACTGACTACATGCTGTATACAAGGTATCGGTCTGAGTTCTGTATATATGAAATCTGATTTTGAGGACTAAACCCATAAACAAACTCATTGCTGTTGAGTCAGTTCCGACTCATAGAGACCCTATAGGACAGAGTAGAATTGCCCCATAGGGTTTCCAAGGAACAGTGCCCTGGTGACAGAGTGGTTAAGAGCTTGGCTGCTAACCAAAAGGTCAGCAGTTTGAATCCACCAGCCTCTCCTTGGAAACCTATGAGTTGAAATCAACTCGACTGGCAACAAGTTTGAAGACTAAAGGGGATATTATTGTGACCAAATGATTTTTTTTTTTTTCCGCTTTGCAAAATGAATTCCTTGTGAAATTCTTTTTTAAAAAATCAAATCCTAATAAAACTCTTTGGCAAGCATTTCTGTTATTTCAGATGAGGAAACAAGATTCAGAGAGGCCAGGGTCTCATAACTGTTTAATAGCATAGCTCTCACTAAACCCACATTTTCTAACTCATTTCCAGATTTGTTCTTCATTACACTGCCTTCCTGTGATTTGCCTCTTTAAAGTTTTATTTTCATTGGATTAGCCAGCATGGCATAGTGTTATTGAGAATCAAAAAAGGTGAAAGCTGCTTTTCACCTCTCCAGAAAGCAAGTGGCCTGGCCTGTCTGTTTTTTGTTGTTACTGTTTATTTTGGTTTGGTTTTTTAAAAACTTTGATAATGGGGTAATAGCTGTCCCTCTTAAGTATTGCAGAACCAACATAATTAGATAACCTGGATTGGAATCCTAGCTTACATGATTTTAAGGGCTTAAGAGTTAAGACATTTTACAAAATCAAAAGCACGCTACAAATCCGGATAATTTGTTGCACATAACTTTTCAAATACAAACCTGTTGTATAGAGGAAGGTACACTTAAGTAAACAGATCAGTTACAGTATTTAGTCAGGAGTTATTATTTCATTTTCATTTCATTGCCTGTTTAGCAGATATAGTTGAGTTATTATGTGAGAAGGCACACATTTACTACGCTTGTATTTGTACACTTAGGTGCAAATATGCCGACGAACGAGTAAAGAATTGTTATATATTCTCAGCTGAAGTTTACATTTTAGCTGCTACCAGTTTTTTTAATGACATTTTTAAGGCTATGTTTAACTTTTTGATACTTTGAATTTTTTTAATTCCTCAGCCTGTTTGGATGATCTGAAGTTGTGGTTGCAGAAATAGGTAGGCATTTTTTAAAAATTTAAACTGGTTTCACTTTTTGGTTGCTTCGTGATTTTAACCCAGTCTCCTCCATGAGGTCACAAAGCTAGTAAAAGCTGGGATGCTAACCCAGGTTGTCTAATTATGTTGCTTCTGCAATACTGTACTGCCTCTTCATAATGATAATTCCTATGTTATCTACTTCATAAGGTTGCTAAGATAATGTGTGCATAAGGGCTTTGTAAACTGTCAGGCATTTCTGTATAAAGCAGAACATAATGAGCGTTGTAAAAGTAAGAAAAACAAATACTAATGGAGAATGGGGTCACAAACCCTTTTACATACACTATCAATTTACATTTCTTAAAAGGAATTTGAAATATTTTTGATGTCTGAGTAGTTTTAGTGAAATGACATTCTAATTGTATTAAAGGACCATGCCCATATTTGGAAAATATGAGGTAATTTTAGTAACCTTTAGTAGGAGCAGTTTTATCAAAAAATTTTGGATATTGTTGTATGTAGTTGTTAGCTGCCGTCGAGTCAGTCCCCGATTCATGGTGACCACATGCACAGTGGAATTGTACCGTCGTGATCCATAGGGATGTCATTGGCTGATTTTCAGAGGTGATCGCAAGGCCTTTCTTCCCAGTCTCTCAATCTGGAAACTTCGCCAAAACCTGTTCAGCATCATAGCAACATGCAAGCCTCCACTGACAGACAGGTGGTGGCTGCACTAGAAGTACATTAGCCGGGAATCCAAGTTGGGTCTCCTGCATAGAAGGTGAGAATTCTACCATTGAACCACCACTGCTTCCCCGCTCTTGTATGTAGACTGCTTAATAAATGTTATATGATTCTCATTAAATGATGGTCAGATTATAACATCTGTGAATAGAATAACATAGTAGACTCTTGGCACTGATGGATTTGACATTAGCTTTTTCAACTATTTATGAACCCTGAAGGTTCATTA